TTTGAGTTTCAGAGGCCTCAAGGCAAGGAAAGCTGGCCCATCAAAAATAATCCTCTTCTAGCCCAGAACCAGTAAGCTATATGCTTGCTGATGATCACCTGGTTTTACTTGTGAGTGGAATTGGGAGAAATGCAGCAATGGTGACAGGAGCTGAGTTTGGATATATTTTATTGGCACCTGTTTAGGGTAGATTGTAAACCCATTGTTGTTGTTGTTATGTGCCAGGGAGTTGATTCGGACTTATAGCGACCCTGTACAGGGTTTCCGAGGCTGTAAATCTTTACAGGAGCAGAAAGCCTCATTTTTCTCTCATGGAACTGCTGGTAGTTTCGAACTGCTGACCCTGAGGTTAGCAGCCCGATTCATAACCACTATGCTACCAGAGCTCCTTTGTAAACCCATAGTACTCATAGTATTCAGTAAAAGAGGAACTGGGGGAGGGGCTTTCTTGAGACAGGAGAACAAAACTCTTTGCAAGCTGGCATGAGGCACGTCTGCCCATGCCTATTGGGTTGATTTTGCCACATCAAATAAAGAAAACCTCACGTTCACTAAAATGAGAGCAGATTGGATTTGTTGAGCATATGTCAGTAAGCACTTGTGATAACTCATCAGTGACCTCATAACTAAGAGGAATCGAGGCAGTATCCAGGATATCCACAATGTTTCTCACATGTGTTTGGAGTACTCATTATTAGCGATGTTGTCCATAGCTTGTCACGATCCACAAAGTTGAAAACCTTTCAATAGGGAATAAGGTAAACATCTTTCTGGTATTTTCTGCTTTCAGCCAAGGTCCATCTGACATCAACAATGATATTCCTCATTCCATGTCCTCATCTAATTCCGGCTTAAACCTCTGTCATCTCTGTCACTGCAAGGTTGCAGACTTTTTTGAATTATCTTTAGCAAAATTTTGTTTGCGTGTGAATTTAATGATATTTTCTGAAGCTTTCCATATTTCATTGGCTCTCCTCTTTGGAATGGATACAAATACAAATCTATTCCAATCAGTTGGCCATGCTGCTGCTCTCCAAATTTCTTGGCACTGAAGGGCCTCCAGTGCTGCATCAGTCTGTTGAAAGATTTCAATTTGTATTCCATCAATTCAAGAAGTCTTGTTTTTTGCCAGTGCTTTTAGTGCAAATTCGGCTTTTTACTGTCTTATAATAAATCCTGTTTCTTAGTGTCAATTATAACTCCCCCTTTAGCAAATCTAATCAAGTGTAAGTTGAAGGTGGGCTTACAAATTCTCTGTAATCAAGATAACCAGTGTTCTTTCCTATTACACATGTGCATAGAGCCTTGGGCTAGCAGGGTGGATGAAGCAGACCCTGGCCCTCTATCAGTCATCTTCCTAAACCAGATAGGCTTTTGCCCCAGGTTACTTCATTAAGCAGCTTTTCTCCCCTTCTTTGCAGCATAACATTCTCATTTTAATTTCAAACTTTAAAATTAATGACCACCAAAGTAACCTTTTAAGAATCGAAAGTTTTACTTCCCATGCCCATTCATTCTTACTCTTACAAAATTCCATGTTTTCATGGATCTGGAACCATTGCGCTAAGTCCATCCTGCCTCCCCGCCCCCCACCAGACCTCCCCATTAATACCGTTTACTCAGCTGTGTTCAATAATTCATTGCAATAGTCTTGCAGAATTCAGACACCATATAGTTATGGAGCTTATTAGGGAGGTTAACGGGTTACAGTTCAGGATTGGAAATACTCAGGGCATAGTTCTTGCATTCAAAACAGCTTCTTCCCAGTTGTGCCTACAGGTAGGCCTCTTTCTGGCCCTTGGCCTTCTCAGCCCCAGGCTCATTTTTCTCTGACCTACTTCCGCAATGTACAAAGCTGTTTTAATACTACTGATTAATGCCCAAAGGGCACTCTATTTTGCTATAAGCTTCAGCCCGAAGACACTCAGCTATAAATGATTAGGAATAGTTTTATATTCTGCTTCCAAAAAATACACATGATCACAACACAGCATCTATTATCTGAACATAATTATATAGCAATGTCTAAGTTTCTCTAGCCATCTAACTTTAGGTTACATAAATGTGTAGAAGCATAGACCACCCACATTTATGTGCATGTAATGAATGAGAGTCAGAGAAAACGAGGAAGATCCCCAATAAGATGGATTGGCCAAGTAGTAGCATCGATGGACTCAAGCTTGGCAACAGTAATGAGGCTGGCCCAGATCAGACAGTGTTTCATTCTGCTGTGCATAGGGTAGCTATGAGTTGGTACCGACTTGATGGCACCTAACAACAACAACAATGAAAAGACTCCTCATTTATTTATAGAAAAACTTAAAACTGTATTAGTATCTTCTAGGGAGTATTAAGAAAAAACAATATTCAATTAAATTATTCAGGACTGCATGTTAAGTTGCTTTCTAAATACAAAGAATGACATCAGGCTCTAAAGTTATGCCTTTTATTTTTTAATTAAAACAACATAAATGTACCCTCAATCCCAAGATTGCAGACATGCAAGCAAGTAAACACTGAATTTAGATGCTATTCACAAGATCATTAATACTCATAGTAATTTTGGCATGTTTCTGCTCAAATATGTACTTGAGGGATGCTTATGGATACATTCTGTTTTCTATAATTGGAAACCTTAATTAACCCTCCACCTCAGATATATTGATCAGAGAAAGCACTGTAAAAGGTGAAGAAAATAGGGCAGCATTTCAGAGAAATAAAGGGAAGATGTTTGATAGTTGTTGAGTGTGAAGGTGCAGGAACATCATGGGAATTTGGAAGCACACAAAGGAAAGTAGAGAAGTTACACAACAGAGAGTGATCGGGAAGACATGGGAGCAAAGCCTTCTGTGATCTCCAGAACTTGAGCAGTGGCGCTGTTAGGATGGGGTCAGAGGGCTGGGAGAAGAACACAGTATGAGGCTGCTTAGTAAACAGAGTATATGCAGACAAGTGTACGTGCAAAGAACTCTGGCTAATTGTTTGGTTCTGATAAGTCTAACTTGGCAGCAGGAGCATTCCAGTACAGATACTCATGCTGTGATCACAGGCACCATAGTTCAGTCTTTTAGAAGAGACTAAAATTCAGAGTCTTCTTCCTCGGTGGAGAAAAGGTGAGCAAGCCTATCTGGGCAAGAGCTCACACTGGTAAGCCAACATTATATGGGTAGGGGGAGATTGAGACTATCAGTGGACCTGAGTTATTTATTGGCCTTGTCTCTGGAATAGTAGAGTCTAGGTTTGGAGCAAAAGGACTCATGATAAACCCACCATACATAATAAAACTGTAACTGATTCAGCTGCAGAATTTAGAGGCTGGTAGGAATGAACAGCAGATGGTTATTGTTAGGTGCTGTGGTCTGGGTTCCATCTCATAGTTCCAGGCTATGAATCTTTATGGGATCACAAAGTCTCATCTTTCTCCCACAGAGCAGCTGATGGGTTTGAACTGCCAATCTTGTGCTTAGCAATTCAGAGCTTTTCCTACAGTGCCACCAGGGCTTCAGTCAATTAAGTAGGTTAATTCTATCTGACAAGGCCATGAGGATTCACAGAGGAAAGCGCAGAGCGTAGTGTGTTATCAACAGCTTGAGGCTGCAGCTGGTCCACCACTCTAGCAACCAGAGTCGAGCTTTGGGTTTTCCATTCCACTCTGGCCCCCAGTCAAGTTCGCTGATGCCAATTGACCACACCTGGCTGTCTTTGGCCCTTGCTGCCCATGGCTTTCTCTCTGTTTCCCCATTTGTTGCAAGCACTTTCCCGCAGTAGTCCACAGACTTGCTGGCCCAGAGCCCTAACATGCAGGGCGACTTCCACAGCATAAGGTGGTGTGCACAGACTGGGTGAGACCTCAAGGAGGAGCACCCCCAGGGCAACTAACTGTCCTCCAGAACCCCCACATCCTTAATTACACTGCTGCGGGTTACCTGAAAAGTAAGGGAGGGGGGCACCACAGAAGAAGTAGCATTTCTCAGTAATTATGATCATGGAATCTGGGGATGAAAAAGATAATGATGATGGTGATGATAATGCTAGGGCAGCATCAGCTGCAGTGAATTACTATGTAGATCAAAAGAGATGGTTTTTTTTTGTAGCCTACCACCTATTGGTGCTTTGAAATAATGCGTTGCTGGGCTGCATGGTCAGTTTAAATTGCAAGGTCTGTGGTTCAAACTCACCAGCAGCTCCTTGGAAACCCTATACAGGGTCGCTATGAGTCGGAACCAACTCAACGGCACTTAACAACAACAACAACAGCAACACAACAACCTATTAAGCACCACGCAAATGTTTGTAAATAAGAGTAAAATAAGAAGGATGATATGATTTTGATTAGAATACAGATGTACACATTCCTGAGGGGGTGCCCTGAGATAGAAACCAAGTAAACATTATTGATTTAGTTCAAAGAGTATGTTCTTTATTGGAAATCCTAAAATGAAGCTTGTAAGTCAGGACTTTTCTTCTATTTCATGCTCAAAGGAGAAAAGGAGTGCTTTGACTGAAAAGTTAAATATTCTTTATACTGATTTCTGAGACATCCCTTGATTTATTTTATAATAAAAATTCACCTTTTCAAGGGTAATGGGAGAGCTAAATTTTTAGTTAGTTAATGGAAGAAAAACTGTATGAAAGTAGACTGTTTGAAGAAAATGTCAGAATTGTTTAAAAAATACCAAGTCTTTACCACATGATGGCACCAAAGTACTATCCAAAGATTTACCATTTTACCTTTGGACACAGATTGCATTCACTGTTTTCCTTCATCTATTACATAAAAGCTACAGAGCATTCTTCACCCTCTAAGAGAGTACAGGAAACCTGACAGTTAACTTTCTCTTAGTAACAAATCCTGAATGTGACGATGGATGGATTTCAAATTGTTATGAGGTTAACGTAGGGAATGAATATCACTGGAAAACAATCCTATTAAAATGTTCTACAATTTCAGAGCCAATACCCTCTTAAAAAGTATGTGGTAAGTCTTTTTGTATGTGCAGGAAATTTTCAGAGATTCACACTAAAAGAATTTAGGAATACCTGCAGAGAAGTACAGTACACCCTGCTGACAGAAACAGCAAGATATGACAGTTATTTTGGCATTAGGGGTACAGACTGCCTTTCGTATAGAGCACATCAACTTCATATTTTCAGGGAGAACACTCTTGGAGTTACCGTATTACATGTGTTGACATATGCCCTTTATGTAGGTAGTTTGGATTGAAGATAAAAGTGGGGAGATAAACAAAAAAGACAGCCAAAATGGAGATTCCATATTGGCAGACCATAAGCGTCTTGCTTATACAGAATATTTTCCCAAATTTCACAGCTTACAAATAAACCATACCCACTGACACTGAGTCAATACCAATTCATCGAGCAGAATACAACCTCCCCATAGGAATTCCAAAGTTTTGTTTTTTATGAAAGCAGACTGCAACATCTTTCTCCCATGGAATAGCTGGTAAGTTTGAACCACCCATGTTTTGGTTAGCAGCACAGTGCTAATCCACTGTGCCACCAGGTCTCCTATTTCATCGCTTATAACAACCCATGTAAAACATTTGAGTAGGTAGGACATAGAAAATTACTATCGTTAGAGGTTCAAATAGATCAATTTAAAGCAATATTATTAGGAAAAGGACAGTCTTTATACAGAAGGAGAAAGATACCCATCATATATCTAGTTGGTAAGAGAAAAATTTGTGGACCTTATTCAAGTCATCAGTTCCATAAAGGTATTAAGCTTTAGTAACTGTTCTCATAAACAATAAATAAATGAATAATAATGAGAAGTTGGAAAATAAAGGGTCCATACTCAAAGAAGTAAGGCTTTCCTTAAGATGGATCCTGAGCAATGTTCTACATCCTACTTTGGTGAGTAGCGACTGGGATCTTAAAACTCATGAGTGACCACCGAAGGTGCAATAATTGGTCTCTCCCTATGTGGAAGAAGGAAGAGTGATGAAGATTGAAGACTGTTGGAAACCATTAATTCAATGCACTAATGGAACATGTAAATATCAGGCTCACAGCCCTGAGACCAGAAGACCAAGCACCAGTCATGCTTGGCTACCACTATCAACTGTTCTGAAAAGGATCACATGAAACGGCCCTGGATACAGTGTGAAAACACGTGGGGTAAAGCTCCAAATTAGAAAAAGGGGCTGGCTCACTGGTTAGACAGAGACTAGAGGAACTTGAACTGAACTCACCCTCATGGCTGAATTTTCAGCCAAGCAGTAGATAGAGGGACAACAACACTAGTGAAGTATGCACACCGTGGAGATGAACCATTCACGACCAAAAGGGCAGCATTTACCTAAGGGCAAAATTGAGAAGGGCTGGGAATGAAGGGAGGAAATGCGATAACTGATGTTACACTGAATGAGTCACAGTCATTGAAAGAAGGATATGATTTATCAAATGTAAAACTGGTGATCTGCTCTGCAAACCTTCACTCAATTCACAATAAAAAGTTAAAGAAAAGAGATGGACTCTGGGGAAGCATTTCTCAACAGGAAAGCAGAGACATAAGTGAGGCAGCCCAGTGAACTACACAGACATGAGATTTAATCTGACCACCACAACAGAACAACTATGTATCTGTAGCACATAGTGCAAATGCCCATGTATGTATGAGGAAATGTTAGTCATTAGTTAAGTCTATTTGCCAAAATAAGGGTTATATTAGCTTTGCAGCCAGTCAGCCTCGAGGTCATTGCCAATCTCTTTCATTTATTCCATATGCTAATTTAGTTGAGAACTACTTCATTTTACCTCCATTTTTTCATCTGTAAAATCCCTCACCTCATAGCATGAATGGAAGAACTGCAAGAAATTTCAAACTCAGAGTCTTTTCTTCGGCTCCTCTCTCTGGTCTTAATATTTAATCAACAATCACACAGTGACACAATATCATAATTCTTCATTCATTCATCCATTTATCCAACAAGTATTTATTAAATGTTAATTATATGTTAGTTCTGCCCTAGACATTGCTGATATAAAGATGAGTATGTCTTATTAGACATTCTATAAAGAATTTAGTTTATTGGGGGAAACAAACAAGTAAACAGAATGTGATGATTACTAGTAGAGTTATTCACAATGTGAAATGGGAAGATAGGGTAGGGATACCTAATCTCTGTTTCCTAAGAGAATTTGAGAGAAGACTAGAATTTAGCCTAACAATGATAAGGATGTTTTCTATTAGGTAATAATGGTAGCGTAGTGGTTACGAATCGGGCTGCGAACCTTAAGGCCAGCAGTTCGAAACTACCAACTGCTCCGCGGGAGAAAGATGAGGCTTTCTGCTCCCGTAAAGATTTACAGCCTCGGAAACCCTGTACAGGGTCACTATGGGTCGGAACCAACTCCACGGCACATAACAACAACAACAACAACAATAATTAAATATAGTAATAGTCATGATAATGATAGTAGTTATAATAATAATAATAATATAAAGCACACTTAAGAAGGGTCAATGGTAAATATTCTACTATTTGGGGGAAATAGCAAACAGTTCATTTTAATACCTCCCACCACACTGGCCTTCTGACAGTTTCTAAAACCTACCAGACACTTGCCCTATTTAGCACATTTATAATTGGTGTTCTTTTTGCCTTTACCATTCTTTTTGCCTTGATCCCTAGAAACTCTATGTGGCTGACTCCTTCTCATCCTTTAAGCTTTGGTTTAAATGTTATCTTTTCCGAGAGACCTTTCAAGACCATGTAATACACAAAATTACTCTCTCTCCCCATTACCCTATGTTTGGGGTGGGGGACTTTCTGCCAACATTTATAACATCATTTGTGGGCTAAACAAAAGTATCAATTTAAAGATTAGCCTGCTATATACCCCTTGGTTGGTTGATGATGCATGGAGGGGATTGTAACCACGGCAATGAAATGATATACGATAGGATGAATGTAAAACGAATGTTCTCCTATGTAAACTATCACATAATTCACAGTAAAACATTTTTAAAAAATTAGCCTGCTATATTTGATCAAACATTTATGGTGTAGCGCTGCAGCACCAGGACCAGATTGCGAACTACAGAGTTGGCAGCTGAAACCCACCAGCTACTCTTTGGAAACTCTGTACAGGGTCACTATAAGTCAGAAGTGATTTGACAGCACTTAACAAGAGCAATAAATGTGATGACTAGAATTGTGGTTGCCTTGGCAAGGCCAGAACAAATGATTTCACGGACCTTATACGGCTTGCACCCTGATGTTCCCCAATCCAGCCCAATGAGATAAAAATCAATTTTTATTTTATACATCAAAGATTGATCTTGTTGCATTTCTTTACTTATTATGTGTCTTTCCTATTTGTCTCCCTTCCTTGGCTGTTAGCTTGAAGAGGACTAGACAAAATCTTTAAGTCCAGGAGTTGCATATAATGGCTTTCATGCATGATACAAGCCCAATAGCTACTTTTTTGATGGGTAAATGAGGGCAACAGCATAGGACAGCGAGTGAAAAGATTCGATAACTAAGCAAGGTCAGGAAATGCTATGCTAAATGTTTGGACTAAATCCTAAAAGCTCTGGAAAACTCTTGAAGGATATCAGTTTACAAATGGCCCCAATGCATTTCTATTATAGAAAATCACTCTGGTAAGAATGTGGGAACAGATTGCAGTAAGGGCAGCCTAGAGTCAGGGAGATCCATTAAGAGCCTACTATAGTAATTCAGGTAAGAAATGCTATGAAAACTTAGGTTAGTGGCTGTAAGGTTCGAATAAACAGGCAGACACAAGAAGTGAAAAGATATGGAAGGATGAGAAGTAGGTATTGAATATTTTGACTCTGAAGTGATTACTGGATGTTAATATTTATGTCTAGAGATTAGTGGAATATTCCAGAAATATAAGTTGGAGCACTAAAGACAAATGATGCAGTGGTTAGGGCAAAAAGACTGGGCATTTGCCAACAAGGGAGTGGATGAGCTAATTTAAGAGAATGCATGCAATGAAAGAAATTAAGACAACAATGGCATTTTGGAAAACAGGATTATTTAAGGGATGAGACATGAAAGAAGAGTCTACAGAGGAAATAAAAATATTAGTAATCAAACAGTCATTGCAAAACCAAGAATAAAAAGAGACATGTAAACCAACGAAAGCAAACATGTCGAGAAGGAGGAGGTTGACCACAGTGTCAAATGTGGTATAGAAGTTAAGGATATACTGATGAAAAATATCTTGTATATTTGGTAATGCGGAGAGTTTTTTTTAAATTTTTTTGTTTGCTGTTGTTAGGTTCTGTGCTGTCTACTTGGTTCTGACTCATAATAATCATATGTACAACAGAAGGAAACCCTACCCCATCCTTCGCCGTCCTCACAATCATTGTTACGCTTGAGTCCTTTGATGCTGCTACCGTGTCAATCCAACTCATTGGGGTCTTCCTCTTTTTCACTGACCTTCCACTTTATCAAGCATGATGTTCTTTTCCAAGGACAGGTCCCTCCTGGTAATATGTCCAAATTATAAGAGACAAAGTCTGACCATCTTGGCTTCTAAGGAGCATTCTGGCTGTACTTCTTACAACACAGATTTATTTTTGTTCTTCTGGCAGTCTGTGGTACTTTCAAGATTCTTCTCCAGCATCATAACTGAAATGGATCAATTCTTTTAAAGTCTTCTTCTATCAAAATACAACTTTTACATGTACATAAGGCTATTGAAAATACCATGGCTTGGGTCAGGCACACCTTAGTCCTCAAACTGACATTTTTGCTCTTGAACACTTTATAGAGATCTTTTGCAGAAGATCTGCCTAATGAACTATGTTATCTGGTTACTTGACTGCTGCTTCCAAGAGTGTTGATAGTGAATTCAATCAACATGATGTCTTCAACAACTTCAATCTTTTCTCCATTTATCATGACTTTTTTTATTGCTCTAGTGGTGACGATTCTTTTTTCTTTACATTGAAGTGCAACCCATGCTGAAAGCTGTGGTCTTTGATCTTCATCATTAAGTACTGTAAGTTCTTTTTGCTTTCAGTAAGCAAGGTTGTAGT